TCAAAAGTTTCTTATTAATTTTAAAAAAATTTTCTAATAAAGTTTGTAAAGTATATTTTCAATAAAATATTTTATAAATAAACTATACCCTATATTATTAATAATTTATTATGTTATTTAAAAAATACTAAATTTAATTTAAAAATTCAGTCAAATTTGTTTAGAAAACAGTTTAAGAGATATATGTAATTAGTTGTAATTCTTTTTATAATTATAATTGTAATTGTTGTATAAACAACTATAAGTCAAACACTATCAATAAACTTCTGAGTCACATGTATTCACCTTAATATTAAAAAAAATATCAAAAATAAATGTTTCTTTTGCTTGCTTTATTTTGCATTGTTGTATTATTTTTATTATTTTATATAAATATTTTATAATCTTTTTAATTATTTTTATTACAGGATGAAACCTGAGTTGTTTAAATTACCTTTTTGATGCATTTGATGCAGATCTTTACTTTTATTAAAGTCAGAATTAGAAAAGTACTATATTAGATATGATCTGCATTAATTAAATTTTAACTCAGATTTAAGTTATATTATTTTTATTTGTTTAATTTTTATTTGTTATTTTTATCTATAATTTTATGATTTTTGAGGGTGTGGCAACTTAGTGAAGTGGTCAGATTGTCAACTCCCAAGTGACAGGTCTAGAGTTCAAATTCTATGAATGATGAATTTTGAAAAATAGGTCTGTATTATGGTAACTGTCTCTGTCGATCAGTTGGATTAATATATCTGTAACCTTTGTTACACCATCTTGAATGAGAACTCAGGACATCTATACTAAATGTAATGTTACACCTATATAGAGAAATGTTAATAACCAGTGTTGTATAAGACTTTAGTGCAAACCTATGATAAGACCACTGGGCGTGAAAAGCAAAGAAACCAAAGAGTTGGAAACCTATTTGGAAATCCTAAGTAAAAAGGTAACACAAAACTTTCAATAGTGCTGTCGGATTGATGGAAACCTATGAAACACCTCCAAAAGAATAGATGGATAAACTGGATAACAAGATATATAGAGAAACATATAACCAACTAGACTGCTAGAATCATCAAAGGAAAAGGATACTAAGATATACCATACCAGGCTATCTAGATTGGAAATCTGAAAAATCCTGTCAGTTCTAAGTAGCAGTTAGTAGGAAACGATAAAGAGGACATCAGAAAGATGAATATCAGGGTTTTGGTAAATCTTATAAGAGTAAAGTGGTTTAATAGTTAATTCTGACTGCAAGTGATGGTTTAAGTCAAAACATGACCAGGTAAACTGTTAGTATAGAATACAGAACACATTAGTAGGTTTAGTACAAAGTTAAACATGACTTAGTGACCATGACATATCTTTATCAGTTTATCAGAATTGCTGGTAAGGTGTGATAGATGCAGGATTAGAGTGTTTAAATAGAAGATCTACAGGTGGGTTTTAAGTATAGCAACTAGTGTAGAACCTTTAGGCAGACTACTTAAATTAGATAATGACTAAAGTTGTACAAGTGACTAGTTGTACACTTTTTCTGTAATTGCCTCTGTGTCTGTACATGTACAGGTGCTAACCAACTTATACTATCAGTAAAATCCTAGGTCGCATGTACTCACCTTAATATTTTAAAAAAAAAATTTTGTGATTTTTGAAAAAAAGTTTTTTTTTCTAAGATATGTTAAAGAGGTTTAAAGCATAAAAATGTTAATATATAAAAATAAGTTAGTAATAAGAGTGGTTAAAACTTTATATATACGTATATATATATAAAAATTAATGAATCTTATTATAATGAGCTTTGGGTATAATAAACGATAGATCCTCAAATACTATATTAGTTCGGGTGAAAGAATTTAAAAATACATATATTGACCTATTTTTTCTTAAAGTGGCGATAGAGAATAATTAAGTTTACGAATGTGATGTAATTTAATTGGTTGATCGTCACATGCCTCAACAATTAGCCAATACTAACGACCAATCACGAGAAAGTTATCCTATATGGCACAAGAATTGCTTCGATACAGCATTACGGCAAATAATACAGCACGTGCCGTTGCCGTATTGATTTGCAAACTTAATTCTACCGCCAGCAATAATTGGTCGATATGTTGGACGATTTGTTGAACAATTTGTTGTGATATTCAGAATGGTAATTGCTGTAGGTAGAGATAGCTTAGGGTTAGTAACTGTTGGGTATGGGTTTGGGTTAGTAGCTGTCGGTATGGATATTTTAGGTTCAATAATTGTTCTTGTTTCAAGGATTTTATTATGAAATTAAGCTTTTAAAACATTTGTTACGTATTACTTTATAAAAATTTTGGTATGCAACAATTATTATGAAATGAATGCTTTAAAGCGACAGTGATCTACTTTAAAAATTGAATCAAATAATACATTTGCATTAAAAATTCGTAAAGATACTTATCGTATGCTGGGCATATATGAAGTATCACTGGTATATTTGTTATTTGTTTAGGTTTACATGTGATTCTTCACGAATTTCAATGCAACGCCTTATTTGTTTAAATTAACAAGTGACGCTTTATACCTGCCCGGCATACTATAAGTGTCAATGAATGAATCATTAAGTTCAATTTTTAGAGTTACCTATACTGCATATCCGCCCAGCATATGATAAGTATCTTAACGAATTTTTAAATTTGCAAGTAACACTTTATATTTAACCAGCATACTATAAACATCTCACAAATTTCAATGCAAATGCATTATCTGGTTCAATTTCTGGTGATTTACAAGTAACTCTTCATACCCGCCCAGTATACAATAAGCGCCTTCAATTATTTAAATTCATTACATAAATCGAACCAATTATATTGTCCGATTGTGGTCACATGATACCGGTGATGATCACCACCGGTTATAGTTATAAATATCCTTTTATATTAATCAAATATTAACGTTAAAAAAATTTTTTTTAAAAAAAACATTTAATAGGATTAGAATTTTCGATTGTTTGATTGATTGAAAATACCGTCAGTTAATTGACGGTCTACTGTGCATGTGATTTATCTCCGCTTTATATTACCTCCTAATAAAGCAATATTTATAAATTAATAATATGCGAAATACCAAAATATAAGGATATAATGTTTAACAACCTTGATATCCGTTTCCACCACCTCTGGCACCACGAGAACCCGAATTTGGATAACCACGTTCGTTACGGTAACGACCATCACGATGCCCACTACCATCACGAGGTCCACTGCCATCACGAGGTCCACTACCATCACGGTATCCACTACCGTCACGAGGTCCACTACCATCACGGTATCCACTACCATCACGATATCCACCATCTCTATAACCGCCATTATCCCTCCTGTAACCTTGACCACCCTGTGTCCTATAACCGCCACGGTTTCGGTAATTGTTACGATGATTTCCTTTGTAATTATTGGAATGTGCTGGTGAAGAAGAAGTATCATTTTGTTGAAGCACTTGCTGTTGGACATCAGTTGAATTATCAGAAACTTGAATTTGCTCTTGCTGTTGTACTGATGGTTCTTCTTTTTGTTTCATAGAAACTTGTTGATCAGTTTGTTCTGGTTGATGTTCTGTGATGTGCTGGTGTTCCACAGAATATTGCTGTTGTTGCTGTTCAACCATATAAGGCTCGGTAAAAGTTTGTTGTTGCTGCTGTTGATATTGTTCTTGAATATCGGCAGTTGTTTCAATAAGTTGAGTGCCCTGATCCACATCCGTATTTGGATAAGAATAACTAGTATGATTATGATCAATTATATCCTGAGATGATGGCTCACCTCGAAGATGAAAAAAACATTAATAAATTTTAGTAATTTAATTCTTATTACATTAAAAAGTGGTTGCAACGAATGCAAATTAAACATACCACGCGGCAACATAAACTGTATCCCACCAACTGGAATTGTATACATATCACCTAAGATAATATGAATGATGAATGTGAATAAAATCAAATATAAATTACATGCTTAATATGTTTTAATATATTTTAATGCATACCTAAATTCTCATCAAAATGTGTTGGCCCTTCCCCTTGAATATTAACTACTTCGCGCGTATCATACGACTCTTCCTGCTCTGTTTGTATCTCAACGGAGTCTAATATTGGTGGACTCAGAATCAATGAACGAATGTGAGAATCTATATAATGAAAAAGGTAATAAATGATATTAGCGAACGTGAGGCATCGCAGTTCCATTGTGAACATTAAACGTACAAGTTATTCCATGTGATAGTACGCCCAGTTTACTACTTGTATCAGTAACACCGTTAGTCAACGGTTCAATTATTGTACTTTCTTCACCATGTTGAAGTTTGTTAATATTATCTAAGGTCTCTTGGATCCGCAGCTCACTAATATCATCCTTTACTTCATCTACAATATTAGTCAGTTTAGCACGAAAAGTTTCAACAGCTTCGGATTCAGCCTGTGATAGTTGAACAATACCGACTTGTTGAAAGTGAACGAGTCGAAAGAATTGAAGAAGACATATGATTGATCGAGAATATGTAGCCTAATAAAGGAGGGAAAAAAAAATTTAGTCAACGATCTTTAAATTTCATAATCTTAATAATAGGTACCTTGACTTCATCAGTAATAGCATTTGCAGCAGCTTTTTCGCGTCCTTCTTGTTGTTCTTTCAGAATCTTTTGGTTCTTGATCTCCTAATTTAAAAAATAAAAAATAAATAAATAAACCAGTTTATATGGATAAATTGTCATAAACAGAGGTTAACTAACCTCTTTATCAATATTTTCGGCCTGTTTCAAAATATCATCACACTCTTTTAAGGCTCCAGCGATCTCACCCTTTCGTTCATATAATTGCAGCTGATCGTTATTCAACTGGCTTTTCCCATCAGGATTAGATCTGATGATCTCTTCACATTTCTCGATTCTTAACTAAACAATTAGAATTGATGATAAATTAATTCTCCAAAAAATGATTCATTCACGATCTTATTAATGTATCCTAGAGAAGAATTCTTTAGGAAATAATTCAAGTGACCTAAATATAAAACACACACACCATCTTTTTCCTCAAATTCCTGATCCTTTTATTAATAACTTCAATGTACGGATTTTTGTTAACGTTCTCAAGACTAGCGTCCGCAGTATCAGGGGCAGGCGTATTAGGGGAATGTGGCTCTTGACGTGACGGAGAAACATCTTTTGTAGTAACCGCTAAAGATTTCCTCTTGTTCTTTTTGGACTTAGTTGAAGGCAGTGAATTACTACTTGTTTCAACTTGAGAATTCGAGGATGTTACGTTCGGCATTTTGAGGTAAAATTTGAAAGGTTCGGGATGCTTTTTGAATTGACAAACGAATTATTAACGAATTTGTTAACAAAATGAAAGTCAAAATAAATAAAAAAAAAAAAAAAAAGTCTCACGTGTAAATACTTTTTGACTATTTGATCGACCAATAATGTAAATACCTAAATTGCGCAACAAAATAACCAAATTTAATTTTTATTAATAAAGTTAGAGGCACCCAAAAGTGTTTAGAATTGAATTATTCTTTGTTGATCTATATGTTTTGTGCAGAAGAACCTCTTAAAACATTTATTACCCTTAATAATTATATGTGCGTAGACAGCAACTAAGCAAAAGTTAGCACTTCTGAAAAAAATTAATGATGTTCTTTTTAGAACATTAATTAAAATCGATACGTATGCTTTTGTTAAATATTTTGTTAGTCGAATGCATTTAACAGTTAAATTACGTACGTACCAACCTATGTCGTGTGATATTCATATCAATATGATGTAATATATAATATCGATATAGAAACAATATAAAAAAGCCATCAATTTATACATATCGATATGGGTGAATTGATGGTTTCAAATTGTTTCAGTTCAAGCTAATCAAATTGCTTTATATACAGTATATATATATATATATTGTATTTCTATTTTAAGTTTTCTGAATCATGGACACTTTTGTAGTAATTTCTTCTCCGATCCGCCGTTAAAAATAATACTCAAAATACACAAGCAACAATGTTAAGCTTCGAGAGAGAACACAAAAAAGTTAAGTTTAATGCAACCTTACATAATTTAAAACAATATATATATATTTATTTATATACATATTCCGGTTATATCGACACTCTAAAAACAAAGATATTAATATCCAGATGTTGGTTTAACCAAAGGCATCTTCATATTAAGCTCAAAATTTTAAAAAAAGTCAATATAGCTAGATGTCGTTATATTCGGATGTCGATATAACCAAAGCGATGTGTATTTAGAAAATCTTAACACCAAAAGAAGGATATACTAATACTTATTTTAATCTCAACCTTTAAAAACAAATACTGGAAGGAATTATCGCAGTTTTCAAATTAGCGTGACCCCAAATTTCAATGAAACACACACGTACGTATAATCTGGGAATCGGGAATTTAGAATTTAATATCAAAATACAAGTCAATCAGCTAAAGATTATATCATCTAATTTTAAATACAGTGCAGGACACTTAGAAACGACAATTAAATAGCTAGTTTTTAAAATTTAATAAAAAACAAAAGAAATCATTATTTTATAATTAAGATAAAGAGACGATAAAAAGTTATCATCATAAAAGTAATGATTTAAAAAGTAGGAACTTAGATAAAATAGGTGCTTGGATCGATAGCAAACAAATATAATTTCTAATAATTCAGAGTAACAGGAAGGAACTCTCATTTTATGGGTTAAGTTCTTCTCTTGAAACTCGCTACTCCAATCATAATTTTTTTTACTTAGCCCTAGCCCATTTTTATTCTTATAAAATTAAAATTATATCTATTATTACTTGATTTTTAAATGCGTTCGTTCATCAATTCAACAATCAAAATTAAAAGTTATTACCGTTGTGATCTTAGTGAAATTAGCCTGTTTGTAACGCATGTAAGATGACCTGAAAATTCGCTTGCAAAACGTGGATATTTAATCAACACCTGCGAGGCTTATCGTTGTGCATATTTATTTGTGAAATAGGCTTTGTGATCCATGTGACATCAGGTCCTTTATGCTCAACATATGTTCAACAACAATTTTATTGGCTAAGAATTTCGAAACCAGTTATTATTTTTTTTCTATTAGTATGCCACATGAAAAAAAGTTAGAATAACACACTCATGTATAAAATTACTTCGAAAAGTGGCGTATATTTAGAGGATGGAAGCACGGATGTAGGGGTTGTGACGAATGCGATCATCATTCACATCTATATTGCAAAGCGTGTAAAAAAAGTAGTTGATGGAATATATAGCCAATGTGAATGTGTTAAGAATTTATATACAAATAAATAATACGTACATATCAATATATCAATTCTTTTAGCATTAGAATACGTATAAATAAAATTTGATACGTGACATATAACGGTAAAACATGACCCTGACTTATGCATAATTTATCTGAGAGATGGGCAACCAAGTACCCCAGTGGCACCGACAGATTTTCACTGATCGACAGCGATTGACCAATTAGATTACAAGATCGGGTGTAACGTGAAATCAAAACAAAAAACTAACATTTTTTAAAAAAACCACCATAACTCAAAATTTCGCCTATGTAACCATCTTCTGCGCTTTAGTAAAAAAATTTCCTTGCAAAATTTTAGTATAAGACATGTATCGTTATGATTATAAACCTGACTCTAATGTACTGTTTTATGGCTTTAAAAAATTGTCGATCAGTGAAAATCTGTCGGTGCCACTGGGGTAGTTATGGGCAACCCCTCCAATGGAAGTTTATTGAAATTCTTATGCATAATTTATTTGGTTGTTGCAGAACCCCAGAATGATTTAACTAAATTCGGTCAATTGATCAGAGTCATTGAAATAATGATTGGGGTGCATGTAGACATTACCGTTATTGTATATTACATTCAAATCGCATATATCATGAGTTTATTAACCAGTTTCGAACACCGTTAGTGCTCAATTTCTATCTGAGGTTAAATCAAGCAGGTTTTGGTGTGCGGTTAGAAACAAGTATAAATATACTTCAAGTAAATGGTTTTTCAATATATTCTTAAAATGGTTTTTTGACATTTTTTCTCATAATGAATAACCAAAATAATTTAAGCACGAAAATTATGAAATATTCTCAGCAAAAAGGAGTAATAACAGTTTATAATAAAAGATATGTGAGAAATGAATGCCTTCAAAGTTTTAAAAATTTTTTTTTTAAAAAATGTTTTCGACCGAGTCTGTTGCTCTTGTGGTGGTAGTTGTAGAATCCACCTATATAAGGGGATTAAAATTTGAAGTAGATATCGTTGAAATGCTGAGGAGTATTGGTGTTAAAGTTATTCATAGAGGGTGAGTTTTTCACTGAGTTATTTGTCGAGTCGTTGTGTATTCAAAGTTACTCTGTCACATCGGTGTAAATATCTAGTAAGAAATTGAAAGCACATCGTGGCTACTGTTTTAGCAGTAAACGTTCTTTCTTTCTAGTTTCCGGTGTTCCTGAGCTTGCTTAGGCAACTGGGAATTAATGATGAATAGGATACACTCTAACATCGAAAGCACTGTCGTCGAATATTCCGCCTGTGCAACTTCTTTGATTAGTTGATGACGATGATACAAGTACTCACAGTTTATTTTTTTTTAATTTAGGAAATCGGGCGACGGAGGCATTGATATAATATGCGAAATTTGTACGACCCGATTCATTATTCAATGCAAAAATTGGGTCAAAACCAATATAGGTATTATTATATTAAATCAGCTAAAAATTCAATTAATAACATTAAGTGTATCTACAGGTCGCCCGGTTGTAGATGAGTTGCTTGGAGTGCTCACTCGAACCAAGCAACCGGAGGGAACTATTGGTGTTGTAGTGGGTCCCTCTATGGATAATTTTACTCCTGGCGCAATAAACGCGGCAATGGAGATAGCAGAAACGTCTACGTATCCCATTGTCGTAACGGATAAGGCCCACTTACTCAAATATTTACTAAATGCAGTACTTTCTAGGTTGCATAACCATCCATACACTTTTACCATTTATCCATAAATTTCGTTAATTCGTTACTTCTTTCATATACCAATAAAGTCGAATTTCGCATACATAATTAGTTACTTTTTGCATGTGTATATTTCGGGATTTTATTCTGTTGTATGAACATATGTAATCAAAAATTTCCGATTCTAATTTCTGGAACGCCGGTCTCGGAAATTCTCAGTATATATTGCAATATATTTTTTTTGTTAATAACCGAACTTTTGAATATATCTGTCGTACATCGGAATGAAATTATTGTAGATTTAGGATGCACCTAGGTAGATTCCAAATAAATATAGGTTATAATAGAATTCTAAAATTTGTTCGAGTCGTTAAAGAATTCCAATCAACTTAAAATAAAATTAATCGAATATTTTGCTTTTGAATTTAAATCAGTTTAAAATATGTTTATTCACTAGTTAAATTTAAAAGTATTACATGAAGTTTTTGC